TGTGTTAACCGCTCGGTTTGTGGGTTTGATTGGTACCTTAGCTAGTTTAATGTGGTTGAAAGTTCAACCGCTGGTTTGATTACCAATTTCACAAGTAAATATAACAGATATATAAACATATTGTTGAAAAATGCGGTTAAAAGTTAAACAAGTTCGTTGTGAAACGTCCAAAAAGGTTCTAATAATATTTTATATTTTTTTAAAAATAGATTTATTTATTTATATTATACTAAAAAAGTTTAAAAATAAAAGAAATTGAAAATTTTATTTCAATTTTAAATTACTTTTGTTATTTTTATAATATTTTTTTTACTATTAAACTATTTTTTATCAGTTATAACCATTAGTTAACTTCTCGTTTAATTCAAATATGTTCTCTCTTCTACTATTTTTAACCGCTTTTTTTAACTATATTCTTTTCAACCACAAATTTTTTTCAAAACTGCTTTGTTTGAACGATGTTTCCAATCGGACTCGTATATATTAAAATGTACACCACTACGAACAATTAATAATAACTAATATAAAATTCGTTTTTTTTTCAACCAAATATTCAAATTAGAAATTAACTTTCTGAAAAGAAGAAATAAAACCTCGAGACCAAAAAAAAAAAAAAAAACCTAACCCTATCTAGAAGACATTAACTTCGTTGACAAATTCCCTTGCCGCCGGTTTTAGAACTTAATTTTTCAGGTCCGGTTTACTGTAAGAAACCAAACCGAATAGTCCTCAAATTCGCAATCCAACCGGTTTGGGTCCGGTTTTTGAAAACAGTGAGATTTTTTTAGTTAATATTTTCTCCGTCCCAAGAAGATATATTTTTTAGAAATTTCATATTTTTAAGAAATAATGTATAATGACAATTTTAACCTTTTAACATTTTAACACATTTTAAAGAGTATTATTTATTGTTGTTTAATAAGGGTAAAATAGATAAACTGTTTTAAATTTGACATTGGAATCACAAAACTTTTATCTGGGACAATTTTTTTTTCTTAAAAAAATTCATTTTTGTGGGTACTTAATAGTCTTATGGGTCAAAGAGAAGCTATCTTAAAGGTCAGCTCTTGATGCCATTCTCCTTCCCGACAACAACAACAACAACAACCACTTCTCTTCGATTCCATAATCGAAATCTCCGGTTTTGCTCAAACCTGAATTAATTTTCAATTAACTAACTCACTTGTGTTTTTTTTTTTTAATTTGATTCAAATATATATTTGTGTTTCTTTTTAATTTTGGATTTTGATTGATGTTTTGGTAAAAGATCGAGAAATTGGAGAATGACGACGCCTCCTGTTCTATCTCTCGCTCTTCCTTCAGATACTGGTCGTGTTCTTAGTATCCAATCCCACACTGTTCAGGTTTTTTGTTGGAACTCTTAAGATTACTTATCGTATCATTAGAAACTGTGTTAAAGTTTCAATTTTGATTTGTTGCCCTAAAAACGTTTAAGAAAGAACAGAGCTTTTTGCTATTTGAATCTGAATTTGGGAGAAATCAATAAGATGGTATTTAATTGTGTGCGAATTCACATTGAATATATTAGTGATGCAATATTTTTCTTTGGATGACTTTTCATAAAGGTTTAGACTTTAATTAGCTAGAGGAAGAGTTTTGATATTGTGGAGAACAATCATACTCTGTTCCTTAGTGTACCAATTGTTGAGGACAATCTTGTGTTTATTGGTTCTAAGAGTAATATGATTGTGTTTTTGCTTGATGATACACTGTCTCTATGCTTGAGTTATGCTACTTTTTTTTGTTTGTGTGTTACAAGAAATGTAATGCCATTTTTTTATGTATATTCTTTTCATAGGGATATGTTGGTAACAAATCAGCTGTCTTTCCTCTACAATTGTTGGGATATGATGTGGATCCAATTAACTCGGTACAGTTCTCAAATCATACTGGTAAGATTCAGTCACAGTAATGTAGAGCCTGAAGTTCTTGAAACAGCTGTTTTTGATATCTTCAGGATTGTATCACCATTGGTGTTTGGGAGTCTATTGATTTAGCTGTTCTAAAACTTTGTTTTCCAGGGTATCCTACGTTCAAAGGACAGGTTTTGAATGGTCAGCAATTGTGTGATTTGATTGAAGGTCTTGAAGCAAACGATTTGTTGTTCTACACTCATGTATTAACAGGTAGCAATTTTATAATTTAGCTCACTTTGAACACTAAATGCCTCTCTTTGGCTTAGATCATGGAACTTTAATCTCTGGTTTATGTGAGATTATAGGGTGTTGAAACCTTTGGAAAGTTGTATGTATTAATAGCTATGTTTTATAGTAGTTACTCTCTTATGCTTCAAGTGTTCTTGTATCATTGTTGGCGCAGCAGATCTGAGTGAGACAATGCTTTCGATGGAAAATCATTTTGTCAAAGCTGCAGCACTTTATATTTAGCTAGCTCTTTAACTCTTTTTGTTAAATGCAGGTTATATTGGATCAGTGTCATTCCTGGATACAATTTTGGAGGTTATCAATAAGCTTCGTGCTGTAAACCCGAAACTTACATATGGTGAGTCATGGATGCATTGCTATGTCCGCAAAAACCTTGTTGTTTCATCTTTTTAGTTCCTTAAAAAGTTTCTGTGTTTTGCATACCTTGGAAGTATTATTGGAACAATGATATAGTTATGTTCTATCTCTGTAGTGTTTTTAGTTGCCGGAACTAGAGTAAGGGCATTATTTTTTATGTGACTATGTTTTGGATGTCTTGAATAGTAGAATTATGCTAATTTTAGCCTATTCTTATTAGTATGTGATCCGGTGATGGGTGATGAAGGAAAGTTGTATGTGCCTGAAGAATTGGTACATGTTTATCGTGAAAAGGTAAAATTAGACTATAAGTAATTATTTTGTGCTTTCAATTAGATCAGGTGATAATACACTTTATATATTACCCTTCTCAACATAAACGATTCAAACTATTCATTCGTTCAGTTCAATTTGTTTTCCCAATATAACAGTAGTAAATGTGTAAATCTCTTATGGTATTATTTTGTTAGGTTGTTCCCCTGGCTTCTATGTTGACTCCTAACCAGTTTGAGGCAGAGAAGTTAACCGGACTAAGGTACTTGATTATTTAGCGAATGTTACATTCTTTAGCCTGTGAGATCTCATGTATGGAACTATTTTTGAAGTGGTTGTCCTGGATCTTTAGTCTACCTCTTTTATCTAGAGTTCATATATCATAGTGACATTTTAGCTCTCTGATTGAGTTAAGTGGAAACTGTGAACACCGGATATGGGGGATTCCCTACCGTAGAAACCTTTTTTTGTTATGGTTCCAAACATCACAGTCCTAAAATAATACAGGATAAATTCTGAAGAAGATGGCAGGGAAGCTTGTGCTATTCTTCATGCAGCTGGTCCTTCAAAGGTTTGTTTGCTAAGCTTGCAAAGTCTTCTCTCTACTGATTGTATTCATTAGAAATCTTCCCTAAATGGTTATATTCATCTTTAAAGAGTTGAGAAGCTTCTTTGCATAGCGTGCAAGATTAGCTTTGCTGTTTCGATAAAAATTCAACGATTTGAATGTTTGGCAGGTTGTGATCACTAGCATTACTATAGGAGGCATTCTATTACTAATTGGAAGCCATCAGAAAGAAAAGGTAGGTCGGGTTTAACATCAAGATAGTTTAACTTTATGCAGTCTGAGTATGTTGTAATTAAACGGAAAAGTGTCTTACAATTGCCTTCTTTAGTTCTTTCACGAATAAACTGACCTTAGTTTTTCAACCTCAGGGTCTCAAGCCTGAGCAATTCAAGATTTTGATACACAAAATCCCTGCTTATTTTACGGTACGTACTTCATCACTTGTTTATACAGACGAAGTACACCTCCAATGTGAATGGGTTTGATAGTGCTTGGCAAGTGAAACCTTTTTGTTCCAGTGGTACCGAGGCACTAAGGCTAAAATGGTTTCCACTTCTGTGTCGACATTTTTTATGTTAGAATTCCGTGTGAAATGCTGAAGTTTATACACTTTTCCTGCAGGGAACAGGAGATCTCATGACTGCTCTTCTACTTGGTTGGAGTAATGTAATGCATCTTTACTTCCAAATGAAAGCAAAATATTTCTTTATCGGTTTTCCTTATTTGCTAAAACGTTTCTTATTAATAACTGTAATATGCAGAAATACCCGGACAACCTTGACAAGGCAGCTGAGCTTGCAGTTTCAACGTTGCAGGTAATATTCCAAACTCGTAAAGCTACCAAATTCTCGTAGAATGTTATTGTTACTACTTACTACTCACAAAGTTTCTGTATTGTTTTATTTGTGTGTGCTTATTGTTATTTGGATGACCTGAAAACTTATTTATGGTGAGCAGGCACTTCTGCGAAGGACACTTGATGATTACAAACGCGCTGGGTATGATCCCACCTCAAGCAGTTTGGAGATTAGATTAATACAAAGCCAGGAAGAAATTCGCAACCCGAATGTCGAACTGAAAGCTGAGAAGTACTGCTGAAGCAGGTGAAAATGTAACATATTTATCTTAAAATAAGAAAACATAGATGATTTATGGGTAAGTTAGTTGAGATCTCTATGTTGGGGATACAATAATTATGTTGCACAATTCTTTTATGCATATAAAAGAGTACAGACTTCAGAGTAATAGGATGTGCAAGAGCTCTATAACGCATTTTAAACTGCCGTTAGACAGATCGTTTTTTGGCTTTTTGGTTTGGGTACTTATCTTTCTATCATTTTGCTGGTGTTAATATCTTAACATGAGAAAAGATGGAGCGGAGATATGCATTCTGTTCCTCTTTCTTTCAGATACGAATCGGTAACTCGTAGTGCATTCAGCTCTCTTAAGTTATTAACCAAATCGAACTCGGCCAACGAACTGAATAAAACTCATGGGCCATAACAATGGGGATTGCAATAATAGAGTTACAAAGGGGATTTGATAATATGGATACATAACTCTGCTGATGATTTAGCTTTAAGATTGTTACCCGTACTAAGTATAGTTTTTAGCTAATGTAGTAACTTACTTTGTTCTTTAACACTCTAAACCAACATTGAACCAAGAAAAGACTATACTACTATGCTTGAAATAAACCCAAGTAATGAAAACACACATCTAGTTAAGCTAACTTTAACCACTAAATCCTTCAATCAGTAGTAAAAGCCATGAACTGGTCTTGAGCTGAACTGTTGATTCATAGACTGAAGCGGTCTGGAGCTGAACTGTTCATGATTCATAGACTGAAGTGGTCTGGAACTGAACTGTTCATAATTCATAGACTGAGGAACAAGAGATGGACCATTCATCATCTGACCATGGAAGCCTCTCTCATTCATCATCGGACCATTGAAACCTCTCTCATTCAGCACCATATGATTTACTCTTCCTCCAATCTGCATGTTCATTGCTTCTGTTGCAGGGTATGCATTAGAATATCCAAGATCCATGTCCCTCATCAGATTTGGTTTCACCTCTTCATACTTGTTGTGTCTTTGCGGTATTTCCCCAAATAGCTCTTGGAAATCTTCAGGTGAATCACTCATTTCGAAGTAATCTTCATCTCTCATCATCACAGGTTTCATGTTCATCATCATCTCTTCATCACTCTGATGATTAAAACTCTGCCTTTCATAACTTGGGACATTGTTGTAATTGCTTCCGAAATTGTATTGTGTGTTTCCCAAGCTTCTGTTGTCATGGTTGAAACCAGCTTGATGATTACCAAAGTACTGGTCCTTATGGTAAGGTGTCAAGAACATAAGCTGAGCATGTTTCCCTCTTTTGTTCAACTTCTTGACCAAAATCTCTGGATCTAAGTTACCTCTAACGATCACTGCTTCCTGATCTGTGTCTATATCAACAGAGTAAACACCTGAAAACAAAAAAAAAGAACATAAAAAAAAACTAAAAATCTGCATTTGATAAAATCTTATGATCTGTTTTTTTTTTTTCTCACCTTCAATTTTTCTAAGTGTTTTCTTCACTTTCCTTTTACATCCTTGGCAGTTGATGTTAACTTTGAGAAAATATGTCTATCACATAAAACCAAAAACGAGGTTTCAATGTTGGAAAGTAAAAAAAACATTTGAGAAACAGAAGAATGTTTGTGTCTAAAGAAAAGAGAGAAGAGATGTTTTTTATACCTTCAAAGGTTCATAGACGTTTCTTGGCATTTCTTGATTTCTGGACTTGATCTTTCTTTGAACTTCTTTTATGTTTTTTTGTGACTCTAGAGAACAAAAATGTGGTATATAAGGAGTTATGAGAGAGTATAGATACATAAATATATGGAGAGAGAGACAGAGATTCTGGTGGCCAGAGAAATCTCGATTTTGTCAGCTTTTTTAAGCAGGTAAGTATCAAAGGACAACACACTAGTTTCTTGTGATGAAGATGGTTTCTGTTGGTCAACGATCATTGGCTCTAAGTGTCAACATCTAAAGATAAAAAAGTAAAAAAGTAAAATAAATATGGAATAATAAGTAGGAGGAGGACCACTTCTAAGAAACTGGCACTGCAAAAGTTGAAAATTTCAGAGTTTGTGAGTATTTATGTTTTGAGGTTATAACTTCTTTATCAAGCATTATTAGCTCTGCGTTGCGGCTACAAACTCTAGTCTCTGTCAGTCTCTTCAATGCTTCTTCAGTTTTTAATTTTATTGAGAACGACTTTTAATTAGAACTTTTTTTTTCTTATTATATAAAAAAACAAATTGAAATTCCTATAGATAAATTTTAAATTTTACAGTTATAGATTTTCTTTTCTTTTACTTATGCTTGGAAGTTGGAATGGATAAATTTATCAACACATGAACTGAAGCAAACTAGAGTTGGTACAAATATGTAGTCGCAAACTAGACGTATTTTACAGTTGGAAAACACGTGTTTTTCGTTTTGGGATAGGTGTATTAGGCGACTACAGATATGTGGATGGATACCAAGAGGTCTGGGGTTAATTAATGCTTCTATACCAAGAGGTCTGGGGTTCGAATCCCAGATACAGCGGTTTATTAACAAATTTGCAGATTAATAAAGGCAAGTATGCAAGAGATCTCCAACGATGTACAATTATAGCCGTTCGCCAGGATTCTACGCAGAGAGGGAAGTGTCGTCAGGTCGTGGTCATTGAAGGTGTCCATCAAGCATGAAGAAGGAAGTGTCGTAGGCGCGGATCTAATAAGGGTCGGAAGGAATTGTTCGTTGTAGAATCGTCTATGTAACAAGTTCTCATAATTTGCAATAAATAATAAATCCAGACGGCAAAAAAAAAAATACAAGATATTGCACTAAAAAACGTTTCCAAAAATATCTCATTAAATTTCTCACGCTTTTTTCTATAATCTCTATTCCGAGATTTTTTCTCTCAATTAATTACTCCCAACATATATACCTTAAAACAGACACATCTTAATTCTTAAGATTTGAAAATATTTTAAAATATATTAACCAATTAATATCCATCTTAATTTATTTCTAAAATTTCCACACAATATTTCCATATATCTCACCATTGCTCATTTATTCTTTGAAAAATACTTGGGTTCAGGGGTGAACCCTTATATTCACTCCCATTATTTCAGCCAAGCAGAATCTACGACCTAATAATATAAATAAAATTTTATTTAATTAAAAAATCTAATTTGCCACTAAAACGAAATCATGTATATATTTTATGATTAACGAGGTTAAATATCGATTTGGGTTTATAAACAGAGTTAGATTTTACTATTAAACGAGGTTAAATGTCGGTTTGGGTTTATAAAATATGATTAGGATTTAGATTTTTTTACGATTAAACGAGTTTAAATGGCGGTTTGGGTTTACAAAGGAGAATTAGGGTTTAGATTTTGTAATTAAACGAGATTATATATCGGTTTTGGTTTATAAAAGAGTGGTTAGGGTTTAGATTTAATAATTAAATGAGTTTAATTATTTTATTATGTGGCGAATTCTGATTGGTTAAAATAAAAGGATTCACCCCTAGGGGTGAACCCAAGTATTGCTCTTCATCTTTACTTAAGCCAGTACTCAAATTATATGTATGTTAAATAAAATTATTATTAAAAAGACAAATAACAAAATACTGTTTAATTTCACGGGAAGGGGTTATATGGTGAGACGGGTTTGGTCGATATTAATACGGGATAGTATACCATAGATGCAATCCTAGAATTAACAATCAAAATACAATTATACAATCTTAAACACTAAACAAAACTAACAATATTAACATAAAAAAACAAAACTTACAATTTAAAATTTTACTTATAAAAATTTCGACCTGCGGTATATATGTATACTAGATATGGATCCGTGTGTTGCACGGGTTGCCGATCAAAATTATCATTTTTAATATTTTTATTTTATTTTTGTAAGCTTAACTAAAATTCTATATATATATATATATATATATTTTAGAAAATGCAGCATAATTATTTCTAAATATAGATTTATTAGCATAATGCGCAATATAAAATATTATTTATAGTTATGTTATACTAATTATTAAATCATCTAATATAAATGTTGGTCTATTTATAAAATTATATAATTTTTTGTTTATTATAAGTTATGAAGTCATAAATGTTCATATGTTGTATTATTGAATTTTATTAAGTTATTTACATCCATCGGAAGAGTGTATTACATCTTATAATTTTAATGTGGCCAAGATGGAAACAAAAATATGACAATAAAAAAAAAGATAAAATTATATAGTTACGTAAACATATGAATCATATATGTATAATATGTAAACATTTTACATATAGTCTGAGTTACGTAAATATAGATATTTTTTAAGAAAAGTTTGACGTCATAATAAAAGTGTGACAATAAAAGAAGAGAAAATATGAGACCGTGTATATCCATGTCATGTAACTTTACTTGATAGTATGAAATATCCTCAACAGAAAGAAAAAACCTTATAAGAAATTAGAGAATATACACTAAATAACTTAAGACTAATAAAAATTTTTTTAAAAAAACATCAGACTAAACATTATCTATTTGATGATACAGTCACCTGAGGAATGGCCTGCTTTCTCAAATCAGCTGGATGAGTTTGGTTTACTCCGTGCCTTTTTTCCATTCTTTTCGCTTTCTCTCATTTCTCGTTTATGTAATGTTAAAGCGGACCGTTTAGCCCGTTCTTCTAGACTTTTATTTTCTGAAGTTACATTTGTAAACTCTTCTCCTCCTAATTGGGCAACCAATCAAGGAGTTTTTTCTTAATTAATGTGTGGTTGACAAAAAAAAAAAAAAAAAAAAAACATTATCTATTTGCTATATGGCCTTTGTCATTTTAGGCCCATATTACCAATTTCTTCGTTTTTATTCTTTCTAATTCTCAAATATCTATGTATATCTCATTAGATTTCTCTTCTTTTTTGCTCGAACTCTCTTTCTTTCTCCTTCTCTCCCTCTTGTAGGATTTCTTCACCACCATATCTTTATTTATTTTTTTTCCTATCTTAATTTCTCGCATTCGTCGGACATCACTACCGAGTCTCACTACTTTGACCCACCACCACAACTGAATCTCACTATTATCACAATCACCACCACCATCAATACCGAATCTCACTAATTCCGACTCACCACCTTTATCGATATTTACCGCCGCCACCACCACCACAAAACTTGAACCACCATCATCAACACCAACACCACTGTTACCGCCTCTTATCCTCTTTTCCTAACTTCTCTTATTACTCTACCTTCTTTATCTCCTCCGACATTAGACCAAGCCTCTCCGACAATAACTCTAGTTTATGTCTATCACCGTTCATAATTATTAATTTGCCTCAATTGCCATATCATCATTAGATCTGAATATCACATGTTATTTTTAGAAAAATATCGTGATTCAAAATTTTTTTTTATTATTGACATGTGTCACGATCTCGTGAATTATTAACTTTGAAAACCATACTTTATATAATAAGATTTTTAAAAAATAAAATAATAGTTTATATCTACAAATAATCTTCAAAAAATTTATATTTTAATTTTAAAAAAAAATTGTAGCCCCGCGGTGTACCGACTACCGCGGGTCAATCACTAGTTGAGCAATAAAAGTGTATACAGTTTATCGTTTTTTCCATAGCCACGAATCTTAGGCATTAAGAAAACTAACCAAACCAAAGAAAAATATACTCCATTGTTGGCCAATGCATAAGTTATAGCTTAGAATTTAGATTGGAGAAATTTTGCAATGTGTTGTTGGTGAGATTCCACCAAACGTCTAACATTACACTAAATACATAATCAAACGAGTTACAATCCTCATCAAGTATAACGACAATGGGCGGGATAAGAAAAACAAACGAGATAGATAGAGTTTCCATAGGAATACCCCAACCTTCTTACTCTTGGTTCAACTTCTTGACACAAATCCTCATCTCCAACATTTCACCACGCAATAAACTGTTCGGGATCAACATGATATTCTCTTGCGGGGTTTGAAAATTCAGTTTAAGAACCCTCTTCACCTCAGGTGATTTGTAAATCACAGTGTGGCCATCCACAGTGTCAGAGAGATCATATGAGAACTGTCTTAATCCTGGAGCAGATGGTGCAATGCAGCTTACAGTTACATACACACCGTACGGCTCCCTGAAACACTGCACTGCAAACAAATGATTCGTCAAGTATTCCGTTCTAATTAATATCTTTTCGCTGATGTTCATCCGGACAGTAAAGGAAATGTCACAATTGAACTTATGAAGCTGGTATAATTCCATGCCACTGTGGGTAGTAACATAGTGAGTGTATAGATCATTGTATGATCCGGTGTAACTGCAATCCAATGCAGGGCAGGAGCATTGAGAGAACATACATTCCTTTTCATGAGTTGATTCTTTCCCATAAGATACGTTCTTGCTGCATCCAAACTTGGCGTTCGGACATGGGATCAAGATCGATTCAAGAACACTCTCCATTGCTCTGCAACGATTGTGGCCAACAGGCAAAGCACAAGCAGGGCATTTATTATTCAGTTTGGGACAGCAAGAAGCACAAGCCAAATGTCCATTATCACACTGAAATTCAAAACCAATAACTTGTGATTAAAAAGCTAACTATACTCTTAGAATCTAGTAAATAGCCACAGTTCCAACTATATCAAAAGCTTGACAATCAATTCTAATTATCGAAACAGAAACTCTTTGATTCAATCGAAGAAGTAACAAAACCTGGAAGATAGGAATTGTGAAAGCTTCGTAGCAAATTGGACAATCGAGAATCTCCAGATCCATTAGCATCGTCGAGCGTTTCTTAGCGTCTCTCTTGGCTCCATCACTTGAAGAAAGTTGTCTTTTTCGCGAGAGAATGCTGTTCGATCCAATTCCTTCGCCGGAAGGTTCCGAAATCGCGGCGGCTCCAACCATATCGGAGAGATGGCTAAACCCTAATTCGATTTTACTCTAATCGGAAAATAGAGAATTTTTTTTTTTTTTTGAAACAATCGGAAAATAGAGAATTTAGTTGATTGTTTTACAGAGAAATGAGAGAGAGATTAAAGACAATGGCACAAAAACTGTAATAGATATGACTCACCAAAAAAAAAAAAAACTGTAATAGATATAATATGGGCTTTGATGATTCTTCAATTCGAAATCAAGGCCCAAATCTGAGATCATTATAACAGAATGTCAGAAACATAACTGTAGAACCAATATTTAATTTTTATTTTAGAAGTTGTATACTTGTTTTTTTTTTTTTATCACTAAACATTGAAACTTTTATTGAACTGGAAATAGAAATTACACAAAGCCGGCAAGGTTCAAATCGACACCTTCCGGATACAAAGCCGACAAGGACCGAAGCCCTTCCGGACGTAAAGCCGACAAGGGCCAAAGCCCCACCGGACGTAAAGCCGACAAGGGCCAAAGCCCCTCCGGACGCAAAGCCGGCAAGTTTATAGAAAACTTCTGGAACAAAATCATGATTAACGGAGAACAACCTTCCGAATAATCAGGATACAAGACCAATTCTAACAAAACTACAAATATTATCACGTTGCCTCTTACTTCTTCAATTTACCAGTTAAATTCTGAGATCGGAAGCTGGTTCTGACATCTTCGAGACACAAACATCTTCAAAACTAAACTTCTAGTCATATAGTCTCTCTTCATTATTTGGAGACTTCGAAAGTGAGAGATCTTGGGCTACCTAAGATCGGCAAGACGGAACCTCCATAGAAGACATTAAAACCGTCAAAAGCTGCTTGGGCCGGTGATGTCGATATTCAATCGACTGGATCCGGTTTGAAGGAGCCAAGAAACATCAGATCTCACCCAGATCTGAAGGTTGATTCGAGTGGAGGAAGCTTAAAAGAAGTCGCCCTAACCATAGCACCAACCACAAAAACGATTAGGGATGGCCATGGGTTGATTGGTTGAAGGTCAGGAGAACCACCGGTGAACATCCAAAGAAGAAACAAGTAATAAATCTATAGTCTAACATGAATCAAAAGTAGGATTAGATCCGAATTTATCTGGAAAAAAGTCGCTTCTACATGTAATCTAGTCAGTTGTATACTTGTTTGTTACTAGTAATTTTTATTTTAAAAAAAACTAAAAAAAAATAACTCTCCATTAAAAAGATTTTAAAATTAATATTTTTCTTAATAGTATATGCATTTCTTATGATAACAAAATCTCTAACTTAAATTAAAAGTTGTTAATAGCAATTTTTATAAACAAAACATCCAAATCCAATTGTAAAATTATACAAAAGTTAATATTTAATTTTAATAGCTTATGTAAGAGTTTGTTTTGTTAATTATAGAAAGGAACTGAATTCTGTTGTTTAAGGGGTTGATTCTTCGTGCTAGGACCTAGGATCTTGCTGACAATTGGAGGGACTTTTCTTCTTGGGCTTTTGGCCATTGATGGTCTTAACTCTCGGCTCCTTCTCTGCTCTTTACCTTGTAAGTATTTGACAAGATCAAGGAGTGTACTTTCATGAATTCTAAGAATGTTGCAAATGTATTTTGGAGATTATTAAAGAGATCTCTTACCTCCTCCAAACAACCACTTTACATTTATGCTTATCAGTACTCTTCCACATTCTTCTCGCACATCGTGTCACCATAGAAAGTGTTTTGGTATAAGTCTCTTTCCACAAACTGATTTTGTTTTTTTTTTTTGAAAATGACAAAAAACTTTCTAGTAAGGAGTCTTTAAAAATACAAGTACAAAGCTTAAACCTCGAGAGTATGACAGAGTGCATGTAATTTCTAAGTGATCTAAACCGCTATCACCACCACCGTACATCGATCCGTATGCTCTGTTGGAGGATGAGAGGATATCAGGGATGGATCCTCGTGTAAATTAGCAGCAACAAGTTGTTGTTTATACTCTACATAACTACTAGTGTAGAGCATATATACTTGCTCTAAGTATATATTTTTATTTACAGTCTTTCCTTTTACTTTCCTTACGGTTGTAAAAAGAATTGTTGCTTCTCTTATTCTTGGAACTTACTTTAAGGGTTCGTAAAGTTCCAATCTTTAGCCATTCTATAAAAAATTTGACCACATAATAATATCAACACTAGATTCTGAAGAACACTGTATTCAACTTCAGTCTACTTAAGACTAACAAAAACACCCAGCTTAAATTCAGATTACCAGAAAAACGAGTCAATACAAACGAACTAGATAATAGATATCAAATGGCTAACCGCCACAAGCAAGAGATAGAAACATAGGTTTTGAAAAACACAACCAAGACTCGTAAGAGTTTCGAGCCCATTCACACAAAACGAGATAAAATCCAAGTTTGTAGAAACATCCTTGTTAGTATTCCTCTCCTTCATCGTCCTCATCGTCACCACCTTCAGCACCAACCTCTTCATAATCCTTCTCCAATGCTGCAAGATCTTCACGAGCCTCTGAGAATTCTCCTTCTTCCATACCCTCACCCACATACCAGTGAACGAAAGCACGTTTCGCGTACATAAGATCAAACTTGTGATCAATACGTGAGAACACCTCAGCAACACTAGTGGAGTTTGAGATCATACAAACAGCTCTCTGGACTTTAGCTAGATCACCACCTGGAACAACAGTTGGTGGCTGGTAGTTGATACCACACTTGAATCCAGTAGGACACCAGTCAACAAACTGAATAGTACGCTTAGTCTTGATGGTTCCAACAGCTGCGTTCACATCCTTGGGGACAACATCACCACGGTACATCAAACAGCAAGCCATGTATTTCCCGTGACGCGGGTCACACTTAGCCATCATGGAAGCTGGCTCAAAAGCACTGTTTGTGATCTCAGCAACTGAGAGCTGCTCATGGAAGGCCTTCTCGGCGGAAATGACAGGTGCATAGGAGGAAAGCATGAAGTGGATTCTTGGGTATGGAACCAAGTTGGTTTGGAACTCAGTGATATCAACATTCAAAGCGCCATCAAACCTCAGAGAAGTAGTCAAGGAAGAAATCACCTGAGAGACGAGACGGTTAAGGTTGGTGTAGCTTGGTCTCTCAATGTTTAGGGAGCGTCTACAGATGTCATAGATAGCTTCATTGTCAAGAAGGATAGAGACATCAGTATGTTCCAAGAGTGAGTGAGTGGAGAGGACACTGTTATAAGGCTCAACAACAGAGGTAGAGACCTGTGGAGATGGATAAACAGTGAAACCCAACTTAGACTTTTTACCATAGTCAACAGAAAGTCTCTCAAGGAGAAGAGATCCAAGACCAGATCCAGTGCCTCCACCAACAGCATTGAATACAAGAAATCCTTGTAAACCAGTACAGTTATCAGCAAGCTTTCTAATACGATCCAAGCACAGATCAACAATTTCTTTCCCAATGGTGTAATGTCCACGGGCGAAGTTGTTAGCGGCGTCTTCTTTACCGCTAATGAGTTGTTCAGGGTGGAAAAGCTGACGGTAAGTACCAGTTCTGACTTCATCGATCACAGTTGGTTCAAGATCAACAAAGACTGCACGTGGGACGTGTTTTCCTGCACCGGTTTCACTGAAGAAGGTGTTGAAAGCATCGTCACCTCCACCAACAGTCTTGTCACTTGGCATTTGACCATCAGGCTGTAACATTATAGATTCCAATCAATACACAAAAACCAATAGGATCCATCCAACACAGATCTAAACAGTTAGATCTACGAGAAATCGCAAGAATTATATCAGATCTGATCCATAAAACACAGATCTGGTGAAGAAGAGGAAGAGAGGAACCTGAATGCCATGTTCGAGACAGTAAAGCTCCCAGCAAGCATTACCGACTTGGATACCGGCTTGACCAATGTGGATCGAAATGCACTCTCTCATTTTCGTTTCGCCGGAAGGAAGAAAGTAGATTTACAGGGAAGAAGACGAAGGGCGTTTATGAAGACGCTCTTCTTTAGATCTGATTTTTCGATTTCTGGGTTTTTAGGAAGGTGTATTTATTTATAAGCGAAAGTATCCATCTGTAGGTATAATACATGTGTAGTGATGTGATTGGGTTGTTGTTAAAACCACGATTTGTTGATATCTTTGGTGAGCTGCGTATTTTCTATTTTTAAATTTTTGCTAGCTTTATGACCGTTTCTTTTATTTTTTGAAAAAAAAACAAAATCGCTTGAATTGCGTCGAACTTTATCGGAATTTTAGACTTTTATTAAGGTTGAATTGCGATGTTATAATTTGATGTAATTTACAATAAAAATTAGGTGACTGGCCGCGCAAATGCGCGGGAATAATTTTGTGGCAAAAGTAAAAACATGAGATATTAGGGAATGTTTAGGGTTTAGGGTAAGAAAATATGATAAACGATGACAAAAAAAACCGTGATATTATTAATGTTAAGAAAATAAGACAATAATCATTTTTAAAAAAAAAATTGCAAGACAATAAGAAATCAACGAACGTCATCACTCTAAGACATTCTCTTTGCGTGTGACCATAGATACTCGTTCGTTTTCAGGATTCCTGACATCCGATTTTAAACACCAGAAACAGTTAATGTTCAGTCGCCAACTTTAGAGTTTTGACTGTTGAACGGGAAAAAAACAAAAAATAATTACCAACAAAACATCTCGTCGGTAATACTGACAATTTATTGTCAAACTCATCAATATGCAAATGATTTATACGTTTATCAAGTTCTCTTTCATCGGATTGCAGAAAACCATCAGTTTTGTATCTCTTGTTTTGTTATCATGGTTATAGCCACATTCATCAATGAGCAAATAATTTTTACGTTTATCTAGGGCTTTTTCATTACGTTGCAGAAACCCATCAATTTTTTTTTTTTTATCATGGTTATAGCCAAACTCATCAATCAGCAAATGATATTTACGGTTATCAAGGGCATTTTTATAACGATGCAATTTTACCCATTTTTCCGTTATAATGATTATAGCAAAACTCTTCAATTAGCAAATAATTTATACATTTATCAAG